TTTTCAGTGCATCCCAAACACCAGAAGGGAAGAGGCCAAGCACAAGAGATTTTAAATAGGCTAAAGCCTATGACTGTGCTTCGATTGACTTCTCCATCACTTTTCCTCAGAGAGCTGTATCCCTAATAGGCATCAGAGGTATGCCAAAATATCACAGAGTAGTGTGCAGATGAAAGGTATGCCATACCCTGTTGTTGCTGTAAAAAATGTATGCAGGTCCCTCTTCAGATAAGTTTGTCATGTCAGCACTATCTTATCTTTGAAGAGAATGTAAAAAAGACATTTAGCACACATCTCACATCATAGCCTGATTTTTATTAGTCTAGCTCAGTGTTTCCCAAACTTGGGTCTCCAGGTGTTTTTGGACTACAATTCCCATCATCCCAGACCACTTGGTCTTGCTAGTTAGAGATGATGGGAGTTGTAGTCCAACACAGCTGGAGAACCAAGTTTGGGAAACCAACTAGCAGCTGGACGCTATTGTGCTTTGAATGTGGGTTGTTGCTGTTGTTTTGCTACTTTTTGGTTGCTTTCTTTTAGTTAATTAATAGGCTAATGCTGCTGATTTTATTTTTAATTGGGCACCTGTTATTTTTGTTTATAAGCCACCCAGATCATTTCACCAGACATGTGCACATGTCACAGCATACCTTAGCAAACTAGATTAAGGAGTGCAGTGGTGTTGAGCCAGAGCCACCACCTGCTGGCAAGACAATAAGACCTCCACCTCACTGTGGATTTCACACTTGTCATTCACAAGTCGGGGCCCTGCTGTGAAGTAGCTAGTATTCCATCCTCCACTCTGCAAGAAGCAGTGCACAGTTTAGACTTATTTGTCCCATGTGTGAAAAAGCTTTTACTCTTCCTGTATTAGGAATGGGTTAATCTATCAATTTCAGTATCTTCCAGTTTCTCATTTTTCCACTCTTAAGTTCAATCTCCACATTTCTACATTGGAATATTTTTTTAAGCCCTCCAGAAAATTTGTTAGTATTTTTGTGCAAATTTCTCATGTGCATTCTAAATGCAGTTTTGCTCAGTGTGCACATTTTTCAAAGCAAAATGCATATTTGATTATTTATTGTCACTAATATATGCATTTATGTGCACACGTTACCATAGTCTGTGCATTCTTGTACACATTGTTTGGCTGGAGAACTGCTGTGCAAAATCTGGATAAGTCTGACTTTCTTAGGATATCCATTTCGGTACACAGTATTGTTTTGAAAAGTGCGAATCTGTCGTCTTTAAATGCAAACAGAACTGAATTCCTCCCCCATCCCTACTTTTGGTGGTGCTACTCCTACAGACTATGCATCTCACTGCCCACACTGCTGAATGTTCCTGGTAACAATGTCACTAGTGGGTAGTCTCTCCTAATGGGGACTGCACATACTAAAGAATATTTAATTGATGCACAGCATCACCATGAAAGAAAGATTTCCCACATCTGCACATGGAGTAGATGACATCTGTAACAGGCCCAATTAAGATATGTTACTTGGAGGATCCTAAGGATACCTGATTATGGAATTAAAAGGTTTGGTGAGAATTATCGCAAAAAGGGGTACAGCTTGCCTATGCTTCCTGTCTGTAATGCCAAAGTTTTATCTGAAGCTTACATCATGTGCTGTCATATTCATCATATTGTTCACTTTGTTTTTCACTTGATGTAACCTCTGCTTGGGTTTTCCTCCCCTCAAAGGGCCCAGCTGGTCCCAAAGGACAACCAGTGAGTAATTACTTGTACATACTTTCTGTTCACACTTATTTTTGGCATTCCTTATCACCATTATATATGCGACATGACTCTATATTTGTCTTCTACTTTCTATAGGGAACTGCTGGACAAAAAGGAGAAAAGGTGAGCTTAGCAGAATTAACATTCTACCTACAATAAAGAAGGGAGTTCCATGTTGGTTTGGGTTTCAGTTTCTAGAAATACCTGTGTTCAAGGCAGGCTAAAATAGTCGTGTGATCTCTTAAAGAGGATTTTAACTCACATTAAAACACAGGTTTTTCTAGAAACTGGAAGCTGAAACAACCTGGAACTCCAGGCTATTCATTTACCCTGAATCAATAGTTTCAATATCCACAGTTGCTTTTGAAAATAATGTCACCTTTGCACATTTGAATCCATGGACAAAGTCCAGTCCACGGGATGCTTAAATCAGCATTATCCTCACTGACATGGATGCATTCAAGTCAGCAATGCACCTGCTATGAACCTGTCTCCACGAATCTATTTTGGTTACAGCATTCATGATGTAAACTATTTTCTTTTAATCTCCTACTTTTGCAGGGTCAATGTGGAGATTATCCACACAGGGTAAGCAGACTCTTCTATTTTGTTTGTAAAGTGACCCTTGCATATTATCCCTTGTTTATTTGGATGGCTTTTATGGAAATATAGAACTTAAGAGTTCTTAGAGTTCATCACTGGCTCCTGCAGTCCTTTCCTCACCCCCCCCATCCACATAGATATTTTATTACCTGACTGCCTTATTGGCAGATACAGTGAGTGCAGAGAGTTTTCCGAGAAACATTTCACCAATTTCTCCATGTGGCTAGCAGATCTGCCAGTTAGGATTGCTCTGACCAGTTTCTCTGTATTAGAACCATAGAATTGTAAAGTTGGAAGGGACCTTGAGGGTCATCTAGTCCAACCCCCTGCAATGCAGAAATCTCAGCTAGAAAGGCATACATTGGGGCTGAAATTATTATAGGGACATAGGTTTAAATACTTCATATTCAGCATTTGAGAAGTCTCCTAATAAATTTACCCAAAATCTGGCCCTTATCCCAGAGAGATATAGATGTTCTGTTTGTCCAGGATCCTGAGTGATGACAGGATGCAGATAATGACCCTTTTAGAGGTATCTGAAGCAGAAGAATGCAGGGAACAAAGGCTGGCTGTTTGGCTGTGTGTTCTGGCCCATATAATTACAACAACAGAGAGCCAAGTATATTTATTTAGAAAAGCAGTGTCAGTCAATTGCTATGGGCTTTTTATTTTTAAGTTAGAAGCATAGTTTGCCTGAGCAATGCTCTGAGTTCAGCTGCACTCCCTTGCAAGTTCTCCCAGTGCTGATCAAGATGAAAAGGAGGGTCCACAGAATATTAAAGCACTGAGAAGCTAATCAGGGGTAAAGAGGACTTGACCATACCATACGATCACAAAGAAAAAAATAGTGTGGCTTCTGTCTCTGTTGGATATTTGGAATTGTTATTTAAGAAATTATACCTTCCCATCTCAGATGGTGCTTTCAGCTACAGGAGATCTACATAATAAGAGGAAATATAATAATGATCCACATCCTATGAGCAAATAGATTAAGGTGGAGAAGCTCTGGCAAAGCTTTGCAACGGGAGTATGCCTTGAGCCTTCCTCTGCTACATTCTACACTAACCGGCAGCCTATGTTTTGTTTCTGGGGGTGAGGAACCTGAGAGTTGAGCCGCAGCCAGCAAAGTTTGAGATTTTAGCTTCCAACTCTAATTAAAATTATAGGAACTTAAAGGTTTTCTTTTTCTTTTTAAAAACAATACTGGGCCTCAAGTTGATACCAAAAATGTTCTTAAAGACTTCAGAGCCAAATGATTTCTTAAAGTCATTAAGATGTTATGCTTTTTTAAAAAGCCATTAAGCAGATTCATGATTTTTGAACTTTGAGAGGTGCTAGACAAGAAGATTAGGCCTATCCTGCTGCCTGGAAATCTTGGATGGACTCAGGGCACTGGTCACAATTTCCATCTTTGTTAAGCGTTGCCCTTAAAGGCAGCAATACTTTGCAAATTATCAAGGTAAGGTGTCCCGTCCCCCCCCATGGATCTTAAAGGAAGGCATTTAATTTCTTTGTTCCATAATAACAAACTTATATTCTTTTCCAAAAAGAGGAAGGAATAGCCCAGATAGTTGTTTTAGCTTGCTTAGGATTTCTGAATAATGGGTTTCTTACCATTGTGTCTGTGGCATATGAACTGATTTTTTGGCCTGGGTTCCCCTCCTCTACCACTGTCAGTAAAGCAAGGACTGAGAATCCAGCCCCACTGTTATGTAGTTCCCTAGCCTGCTCTTCGAGCAACAAATTAGGAAAGCTGATACTGTGCTCTCAACGAAGGAAATGAATGCATCAAGAGGTTATGTATGCGTTGCACAATGCAAGCCTTGAGGACAGATGAGGTAACTGAACCAGGTAAAAAAGGCAACAGGGTTGGGCAGGGGTTGCAAGTTGTCTTCGGACTAGATTTAGGAGTTGGTGAAATTCATTTTGCTGCTGATGGTATAGAGAATCAAATTGACCCAGCTCTGTGTTGCTCTGTCTCCACTGTCCCCCTAGGAATACCTAAGCACCACACTTGCAGCCCTGCGTTCTAATCAGATCCTTACACTGAAGGTTTGTGGGGAAAGGGTTTAACTGGTCCTGTTGCAAAAGGCCAAGGAGATGAATCCAATATTGCATGTTCTCAGTGGCAAAAGATCCAGTAACATACCTGTGGGACGCTACCCCCCCTCCAAAAAAGGAAAATGTGTAAAATATATGCTACCATCAGACTTCAGTTTTTCACTGTGGGAAAAGGCAAATGATGTAAAGAAAAACGTTCTGTATATCATAGTCATGCCATCTGAACTATCCTGAGCTCATCTTCCAATAGTCGTTAATGACTGTCATCTCAAGATTTATTTAGGAACACAGGAAGCTGCCATACTGAGCCAGGCCACTGTTCCATATAGCTCAGCACTGTCTACACTGGCTGGCAGCAGTTCCCCAGGGTTTCATTCCCAGCCCAACTTGACATTTTGAAGGTCTAAACTGATCAGCACTATTTTTGCCTTGTCTGTGTTTTTAGATCTTGCCTCAACAGGAGTCCCTTCCATTGAGCAATTTCACAGTTGATTATAAGACATGTGAAAGGCACTCCTAGATCATAGAATCATAGAGTTGGAAGGGACCCTCAGGATCATCTAGTCCATCCCCCTGAAATGCAGGAATATGCAATTGCCCTATATGGGGATTGAACCTGCAACCTTAGCATTATCGGCACCATGCTCTAACAGCTGAGCTAGGAACGGGCAACCTGTGGCTTTCCTAATGTTTCTGGACTACAACTCCCCTCATTCCTGACTGACAAGGGCTGATAAGAGTTTGGAGATCAGCATCATCTGGCAGGCCACAGTTTCCTTATACCTGCCCTAGATACTCCCATGCTTCTTATTAGGAAAGGTAAGACACCAGAAGAAAACAGCTGGACCTAAGGATGGCATTCCAAATCTTCCTCAGTGTCATGTTTGCTCAAATCTAACACCTCACACAGAACAGATGGAATATGAAAATCCTATTCAGGTGTTTATGTCCGTACTGTCTCAGTCACATAAAGAGAACTAGTGGGGCTGCATGTGCTTGTCTGCATGCCTCACCACACCCTATACTGTGTCCCCCCAGTGTTGATACATTGGGGGAAAGTCTGAAGGGGATATGCCTGCTGAGCATGCAGAGGCTGCCTTCAGGAGCACTCAGGGTTCCAACTCACAGGGCAGCCTGTGTGTTTGTCAGGCAATTCCCACCCTGCTTTAGATCTTCCCCCAACATGTTGATGGTGCCGGGGACAGGTAGATGTGTGGTGTTGTGGTGGGGGCAGAGGAATCACACGTGGCTCTGCTCTTTCTGCACAACAGAGATTGTGTGGCGAAAAACACCTGAAGAGGGCTACAGCTTCCCAAAATTCAGCTGACTTTGTCGCCTCTTAAGAACTACAGGGAATGTGCAGTGCCTTTTTCTGTGATTCACAAACTGAGCCCCTCTGTGGTCTTTGGATCTGCTGTTGATTGTGGCCTTCTTAATCCAACCATTGCTCTTCCAATTTTACCACCACAACACATCTTCTATTTTTAACAAGCTGCCCAGAATGACTGGGTTGCAGTGCTGCAATATTGTGATGACATTTCAGTTTTGCAACAAGACTGGAACTTGGCCTGCACTAAAGAGCAAGCAGCCATAAATAAGGGGAAGAAAGTGTACTCTCTGAAGTGTACACAGTTGCTGTCATGGGAGACCTGCAGGCATACCTCTCAGCCTCAAAAGAAATTACAGGCATCTGCATTTTTGAGCTTTAGCAAGACCTGATTGTTCTTGCACATATACTAGTGAAAATCAGGAGTGATTCTAGTTGCAGAGTGAGGATAAGCATATGCAGCGGTTGGAACAGTTCATTGAATATTTGGCAGGCAGAATATGCATAGATATGCATAGATATGTTTGTTTTCCTGGAGCCATTTTTGTGAGGTGGAATGGATAACTGTAGCATGGAACACATGGCTTTGGATTTAAAATGGACACGCATAGAGACAGCTGTGAGGCAAGACATACACACGCTCACACACGCAAGGTAGAATGATGTGGAGTAAACTTTGGAAAGGTGCTGAAATTAGAAATGCATCTCATGCATACTAATTACTTTTGTGAGGTCAGGTATGGTAAAACTGAAGAGTGAAATGACCTCCATGTGAAGCTCATGTTTGGAACACTGAAGGAATGAGTTCTGAGAAAAATCTCCTATAGTTGGACTTGGCAGGGAGTGAAACTTCTGCCAAGATGTAGAGCTGGATTCCTTGTTGGAATGAAGTCTTCAAGTTATTCTGCATTCATCCCTTCAGAAATTTAAAAGATGCCTTCTTCATATCCATTTTCACTGGGGGGGGGCTTGTTTTAAAAAAGCAGGCACACTTCTTTTACTATAATGACTAGTTTTCTGTAATACAGTTTGGCCTATCTAAGGGATGAAAAATGGCTTGCTGAGAATATCTGTTGTAATCAGAATAGCTTTTGCAGTGATTAGCAAATTTGCTATGGAATTAGCTAGCAACAAAAAAGAATGGTCAAGAAATGAACTATATCTGGTAATAAGGAGAGCACAAAAACAACCAGTGAGGAATGGAGACTTTGGGTGAAGCAAAGAGAAGAATACGATGCAAACAGAGAAGTGCAAATAACAAGTCAAGAAGTAAAATTAGAGCAGAAGTACTCTGCCTAGAGACTACAGGTGTGGAGGGTAGCAAGTGCTATGCTTAGTTGCAATGATGCACAGCAGAAGGTGACAGCATAATCGGCTTTTTCTCTTCCATGTTATATAACTAGAAAGTATTTTTTTTAAAAAACTAGAGTACTCTGAAGCGTGAAGAATAAAACCAAAGCCTATGTTCAAAATATTAAAATGGAACATAGAAGAGCTCAAGAGGCTTGCCAAAAGGTTCCCAATGACAGATAGCTTTTCCATTGCCCTTCATTCTTGTCTCTGAACTGTGACTTACTTTCATTACATCCTTTCATTGTTTTCCTTCCCCACCCCCTTTCCATTTTCTTCATTGGCTGTTCTGTATGACTTTTGATGCCCTACTGACCTCCTTTGCCTTGTGACCTTTGGCCCTTGCCCTGTGACCTCCTGGCTCGGTCTTCTTCAGCTGTTGCCTCTTCTCAATTCAGTGCGGCTGGCTCCACCCCCAGTCATAAAGAGACGCACCTTCCAGGTATCCTTCTTCTTTTCCTGGTTTTAAGCATTTTCTTTTCATTCAGAGACTGGCGATTAATCAGCTTCTTTTCTTCCTTAAAGAGGGTTTCATGAAAACTAGAAGAAGCAGGGATCTCTTTAGAGAGTCAGTTTTATCCACCATTTGACATGCCTGTACATCAGAAATGACCCCACAAGCTGGTTTTAGTTCACTTGTGTGCTTGCGCTCTCAGTTTAAGCAGCTAAGCATGAACAGAAATATTTTGGCTGCTTCTCCTGATGATCTGATTTCAGGGCCACACAAGATGCTGCAAGAAAGAGTGTTATTGAGGAAGAACAAGGTTTTCACAGGATATACTTGAAGAAAAGGATTGCTTCTTTTTCTTGGAGAGAGAGAGCAAATGACCCCCGCCCCTTGCAGTACTATAGAATATCTGAAGGAGAACTGAATCTAAGAGCCCCTCCATGCATTATATTGAGGCTGTGTTTACCACGAGACTATGCACTGGTGTCATGCAGGTATCGCCTGCAGTAAACATGTAAACATGTATTTTAAGGCAAGTTTGCACAACCTGGGACCTATCAAGCAGAATGTAGTGTATGGTAACCCAGAGGCTCAGCAAACTGTCTAGACCTTTAAAAACAAGGGGACTGTTAAGCACCTAGAACACCACAACACATTGTAGGGTGGCTGTTTTCATCTTCCTAGATCAGACGTTCTCAAGGCCTGGCAAAGTGTGACAAACAGGCACCCATCTCTAAATACCTGAGGATTTGTGTCATGGACACCAGACTTGGTCATGGCTCCTCTGGGAGTGTCTACTCTATGTTTACTGTGGAAAGTGTTGGTTTTGATAGGTCAGTGTAACTTTACTAAACACAGTTGCCACACAAAATAATATCCTGATTGCATCCACAGCAAACACCCTTTGACTTCCCAGACAGACAGACTGTAGCACTAATAGTAAGGGAACCTCTGCTGACAATCTCTTCAACTCCTCTAGAGATAGCTATGTCACTTTGAATGAAGGCACTAGAATGAATTAGCTTGTATATCTATGGAGATTTATACATGTGCATTTGGCAAGTACTGGCTCAGCTGCCTACAACATCCTTCAGAGGATACAGCCGCAGTGCCCTTGGCTTTGTTTGAGGACAGTATTATGTGTGTTTGTGTAGATAAGTGCAGATGGTTCATCTCAGCAAGAGTTCTCTATAGTGAGATGCCAACCCACACAAAGCCTCTTGTTACTGTGGCATTATGGTATGCTTATGAATACTTTTAGCCTGGAATGGCCCTCTAGGATTCATCTGGAATGTAACTGGATGGAGGGAGTAAGTCAGAGATCAAACGCCATACTTATCGGATGTCATATGCCTATTTTTAACCATTAATTGGAGCTATATAATTTTTTTTAAAGTTTTGCTAAGCACCAAGTGGTTTCATTGTGTGTGGATTTAATGTTCTGTTAGAGTTCACTGCAGGCTATCTCACACAACCACTTTGGCTGGGTGTAAAAAAACAAAACAGGGAAGTCAATGAAACAGATGGCTGGAATTCAGGACATAGTGAAAGTTGGGTAGAGAAAAAGCAGATGCAACCAGGGTTCTTACTTCATACATTCTATTTTGCATTCTGTTAGGAAGGAGCAATATTCAGTGGCGATAGTAATAATAATGCACCAAAATAGATTGTATTTTTTATTGTATTTATTTAAAGGATTTGTAGCTCACCCTTCATCGGTACTGATACCAGGGTGAGGTACAATGTAAAATAAATGATAAACAACATCAGGAAAACGAGCAAACAAAATTCTTAAAGCCTGAGAGAAAACATAAGCTTTTAAGGAGTCTTTTGAATACAGGAAAAGAAGCAGCAGAAGCAAGAACAGAAATGAGACGGAGATGGAACAGAAGTAGTAGTTTTAGGGGGCTGTTGTCTTGTGTCATTCAGACATCCCTGAAACCCCCAGTCTGTAAATCTGTAAGGAAGGGCAGAAGAAGGAGAAGCCTTAAGAACAATGGCAAGGGCTCGTTTGATGGGCTTTAGTATTGATGCTCGCTTTCCCAGTCTAAGATCTGATTGAGAGTTGTAGTCCTTCTGACGGGAGCTTTAGATAGCCCATCCACACGTTGCCCTTTGCCCAAGTTTTGGAAACCCCCTTCAGGTACTTACTAACAGCAACTGGCTTGGCTTGGCTCTTCTTCCTTTGCTCAGGCTCTGCTTGCTATAGATCACACTCCAGTGTCATTGTGCTGCACTGATGATAGCGTTGTTTTCAATACACCTCAGGGTGAACAGGGACAGGCAGGAATCCAAGGGCCTCCAGGGCCACCTGGGCCACCAGGCCTCCCAGGGACTCCAGGACAACCTGGACCAACTGGACCAGCTGTAAGTACCTCTTTAATTGCTTGTGTCTGTTTCCCATACTTCCTGTTCTCCGAAGAACCAAAGATCTGGCTTTTACCTCCATGGTGGTTCTGCAATGGTGGTGCCCCAAAGCCTTTCTTCTCCCATGTTACATGAGGATTCCATTTCCTCTACCCCAGCCTGTGCGAACTTCCAGGGT